AAAAAAAAATAATAATAAAAAACCATAAATCAATAAAAGTTGTAGTGATAGATTACTCTACGATTTTAACTTACATAAAAATGTAAATTATTCAATACAATCACTTAATCACTTAACTTCCCGTTAGTCGTCGATTTGCTCGAGTGGGCGCCAGTAACGTCTCCATTTGTCCCTGTCGCGTGCTAGTGTAGCCTAATGGCATCTGTTCGCTCTGGGAACATGAAGAGCCTCAAACTGATCGTTCATGATCTTGATGAAGAAGTCTGACCATCTGGTAGGTGGGCGGCCACGTGGTCTTTTGACATCCCGTGGAATCCAGTCGGTAACAGCTCTAGTCCAGCGGTCGTCTCCAAATCTCATTACATGACCAGCCCATCTGATTTTTGACACCTTGACAAATGAGACAGCGTCCCTGATTCTTGATCGTCGACGGAGGTCGGAACTCCGGATTCTTTCTCTCATTTGAGTGAAACGTGATATTCCAAGCATAGCTCTTTCAATTCTTCTTTGGGAGACCTGAATAGCATTCTCATCCTATTTGCGTAGGGCCCAGGTCTCTGAGGCATATGTTAATGCAGGAAGAACAGTGGAATCAAAGAGTTGTGCCCGGAGCCGGAGGTTCTTCGTCCTCTTAGCTATTTCTTCAATGTTCTTGAAGGCGTTCCAAGCCGCCCTCTTCCTCCTGCGCAGCTCGGGTGCCAGGTCATTTGTCATGTTGACTTCTCGACCTAGGTACACATAGCTGTTGCATTCGGAGATGGTCGTTCCGTTGAGAGCGAATGGGGAATCAGGAACGAGGCTGTTTCTCATAAACATTGTCTTCGTAAGATTCAGCTGTAGTCCTACCTTTCCACACTCACGGTCGAAGTTGGCCAGCATTTGTGCCGCTTGGCTGTTATTAAAACACAATGTGTTATTAAAACACACTGGTATTATTAAAACAATGTCATCAGCAAAGCGGAGGTGGTGTAGTTGCCGACCATCTATCTTCACTCCCATTCCTTCCCATTCCAGTCGTCGCATGATGTTCTCGAGGGTGGCACTGAAGAGTTTCAGTGAAATGGTATCACCCTGCCGAACCCCTGAGTATTCGATATGCCAAAACCAGTAACTACAACTGGTCTCATTCAATACAATATGGTTATATAATGACCATAAGTAAAATATAAATAAAATAATATAAATCCTTCTCATTTGTATAAGTGTTTCCAACTCTAGCATCAAAAATATATTGCATAGCGGGTAGGGTGTTTGCCTTGCACGTGGCCGACCTGGGTTTGATTCCTTCGCCCCTCTCAGAGAGCCCAGCAAGCTACCGAGAGTATTCCGCCCACATGGCAAAGCCTGGCAAGCTACCCGTGATGTATTCATTCGATATGCCAAAAACAGTAACAACAAGTTTCACAATGGAGATGTTACTCGTGCCCGCTCAAGCAAATCGATGAACAACAGGAGGACAGTGCAGTGTTTTTAAATTCTATTTTGTACTTGGATTTTTTTTGGGGGGGGTCACACCTGGCGATGCATAGGGGTTACTCCTGGCTCTGCACTCAGAAATCACCCCTGGCAATTCTCAGGGGGACCATATGTGATGCTGGGAATCAAACCCGGGTCGGCCGTGTGCAAGGCAAATGCCCTACCCACTGTGCTATCTCTCCAGCCCCTGTACTTGGATCTTAATGGCACTTTTTGACCCTGTGGTTTACAGCAATGCTGCTGAGAGGGCTTCATGCAAACACTTTACTGCCTTTCAGTCCCTTTCTGAAGAAAAACATTTCAAAGAGCAAATACAGTGGTAGGGATTTTTATTTTTTAGTTTAATTTTGGGTGACACCATGGATGCTCAGGGGTTCCTCCTGGCTCTGTACTTAGGAATTACTCCTGGTGGTGCTTGGGGGTAGCTTGCCGGGCTCTTTGGGAGGGCGGAGGAATCGAACCCGGCCCGGCCGGGCTGGCTGCGCGCAAGGCAAATACCCTACCACTGTGCTATCGCTCATGGGCTGGAGCGATAGAACAGTGGTAGTGTGTTTGCCTTGTGCATGGCCGACCCAGGTTTGATTCCTCCACCCCTCTCAGAGAGCCCAGCAAACTACCGAGAGTATCTTGCCCGCATGGCAAAGCCTGGCAAGCTACCCGTGACATATTCGATACACCAAACACAGTTAACAATAGGTCTCACAATGGAGATGTTACTGGGCCTGCTTGAGCAAATCAATGAACAATGGGAGGACAGTGGTGCTTGGGGGACCACATGGGATTCCAGGGATCAAAGCCAGGTTGGTCGCTTGCAAGACAACCAGACCCCCTGGGATTTTTAATTTTTGTCAGTTTTTCCTCTCTGGCCCAAGATTAAATTTTGGAATGAGCCTTCCCTTCCAGTCCGCTATTTTGTGAACTTATACATCGTGGTTTTCAGACTAAAGGGACACTCTTCCTCATCTTTGTGGTTCTGCTACCTAAGACATAGTATTGAATGACACTAGGTTCCAGATGAGCAAATGACAGGAGGGTGGTGGAGCACACAGAACCCTTGCTAGGTCCAATGGTCCTAGGCAGCTGTGATTGTTTCTACTTTGCCTTCAAGGTCACTTTCTTAATGCAAGAGTTGGCTTCCCGCTCTGGGGCTGCTACAGAGAAACCTGTAGCAGCAGAGAAAGCCACTCTCTGCCTCAGTGCAACAGGGCAAGGTTGTCAGCCCACAGCTGCTCCTGCAGAACTGGAATAAATAAATAAATAAATAAAAACTGGAAAGGGGAGGGAGGGCGCTGCAAGACGGACCTAAAAATACTTCCCTGCCTGAGGAGAGGGGAAGCTGTGTGAAGGTCAGAAGGACGTCTGGGCAGCGGGAGACTAAATCAAGCTGGCAGGGTGACCTCTTGGAGCCGTGTAGCATACACGCCGTGAACCCAGCAGGCCTGGCTTAGGGCGAGAGCCTAGGATAAGTCACAGGAAGAAGTCCTCCTGGCCAGCGACCAGGGTTCAGGGATACCCACCCTCAGTCCTCAGTTTACTGGTGCTTGTATCGGGGGGCTGCAGCCGGTGGAGCTTGGGGGCTATTTCCTGCTCAGTGCAGCAGTAGGGTAGCTCCTGGCAGTGTTCAGGCCACCACAAGGTACAGGAATCGGACCCAAGCCTCCAGCATGCCATGTAAATGCTTGGGCTCTTAAGCCATCCACTGCCGCCCCCAATGACTCTTAGAATAGCTTTGGCACATTTGGATGAGAAACCTCTTTCATTCACGCTGCTCTTTGGACCTGAATTGCTTGCCAAGGAGCAGGAGTGGAAATAGCTCATTCCATTCCCCTGGTCATGAGTTCCTGATTTAGAACAAGCAAAGACACCCCGCCGAGGTGCCCTCCCCTGCAGGTGGGGCACACCACCCAAGGACAGACTCCACAGGGCAGGGGCCTCACTGAGCAGTGGTTCCTAGGCTTGGGTCACCTTAGCTGAACTAGTTTAGTGGATTTGGGGAAAGAAGCACCTGGGGAACTACTGGTTTTGGCATATGGAATACACAACAGAATCGAAAGAGCTATGCTAGCAGTATCACGTTTCACTCAAAAGAGAGAAAGAATCCAGAGTTCCGACCTTCGTCGACGATCAAGAATCAGGGATGCTGTCTCGTTTGCCAAGGCGTCAAAAATCAGATAGGCTGATCACGTAATGAGATTTGGAGACGACCGCTAAACTAGAGCCGTTACCGACTGGATTCCACGGGACATCAAAAGACCACGTGGCCGCCCACCTACCAGATGGTCAGACTTCATCATCAAAATCCTGAACAATCAGTTTAAGGCTCTTCATGTTCCTAGAACGAACAGACGCCATTGGGCTACACTAGCATGCAACAGGGACAAATGGAGACATTACTGGTGCCCGCTTGAGCAAATCAATGATTAATGGGAAGTCAAGTGATCAAGTGAAGCACCCGGGGTTGTACCAAGAGTACAGTGGGTAGGGTGCTTGCCTTGCATGTGCCCAACCTGGGTTTGAATCCCGCGTACCCCATAACGTCCCCTGAGCCTGCCAAGAGTAATTCCTGAGTGCAGAGCCAGGAGAAAGACCTGAATATCACCAGGTGTGGCCCCCAAATCAAATAAATAAATAAGCACCGAAGGGGCCAGAGAGATAGTACAGCAGGTAGGGCACTTGCCTTGCCTTATATGTGGCCGACCAGGGTTTGACCCCTGGCAGCCATATGGTTCACCAGGAGTGATCCCTAAGTACACAGCCAAGGGTATGTCCTGAGCACCACTGGGTGTGGCTCCAAAACAAAGCATCAAAAGGCTAGGGTGTAGCGCAGCAATACAGTATTTGCTTTGTAAGTGCAAGGTCCTGGGTTCCATCCCTGTTACCGTACACAAAAAGTAAAGTTTGAGGCTGGGGCGATTGTTTAAAGGGCGAGTGCCCATGCTTTGCTTATGGGAGGGCCAGACTCAATTCTCAGCATCATATGGTAATACGATGGCACCCAGGCACCACCAGAAACAACCCCGGAGTTTCTTAACCCCTCTACTATCTCTTCAGCCCTGGTTTCTGGAATCTAGTTGTGTCCCCACCTCTGTGATTATGTATTTATTTTTTAGGGCTATTGTAGTACCCAGGGCTGGGCACATGCAAGATCTATATGTGCTCTACCACTTAAGCAACACTCCTGGCTCTCTGTGATCATTTGAAAATCGAAATGGTAGAATTCCATGGTTTCCTCTTTTTCCCCCTTATTCTGTATTTTTGGGCCACACTTGCTGACTTTTGGCTCTGCAGTGCTCAGGAGACCACAGGCAGTGTTGGGGATCGAACCCGAATCAAGTTCACGCAAGGCAAGTGCCTTAACCCCTCTGCTATCTCTCTGGCTCCTAGAACTCCATGATCTTGATTTCTGAGCCTCTGAAATTACTGACGTGAAAATTCTGAAGTCTGGGTCTAGCACCATGGCCTATTGTTCTACTAGTTCATCTCATCACAGTCTGACATCTGGAGGCTGTCAGGGGAGATGAGAAGGAGCTGGCAAGGAAGGGCTAGAGAGGGGCGAGAGGAAGGGAGCTGAGGGCACTGACGGCCCACAACAGAGAAAGCCAACCCCACATTTCAGTCTGAAAACTATGTATTCAGGCACAAATACAGTAACACACAGGGTGCCACAATGATCCATAATGCCAATCTCCTCTGAGGACACAGAAATCCAGTGAAGGCAAGTCAGGGAAACATCCCAATCCAGCACCACGGTCGGGGGGTGAGTAACTGGGTGGTCACAGTTCCATCATATTTACTTTCTTTGTCAGCTCAGCTTCAATGGAATCCTAAAGAAAAAAAGATATGCCATAAATACCACAGATGAGGACATAAAACTGGTACCAACTTGTAGTGTGATGTCAGGCGCAAAGGGCTGGAGCGATAGAACAGGGGATAAGGCACAGGCCTTGCCTCCTGCCAACCCTGGTTTGAATCCCTGGTACCACACACGAGTCTCCTGAGCGCTACCAGGGGTTACGCCTGAGCCCAGAGGCAGGAACAGTACAGAAAAACAAGACTGAGGGGCTAGGGTGATAGTACAGCAACGGAAAATGCAGTTGCTTTGCATGAGGTCGATTTGGGTTCAACCCTGGGCACGCGTTTGGTCCCTCAGGCACATCAGGACTGATCTGAGCGCAGTCAGGAGTAAACCCTGGGCACAGCTGGGTGTGGTTCCAAAACGAAAATAAGACAAAGAAAGGAACAAAAGAGAAAAATCATTAAAAACAAAATTCATTAGCAACCATCAGGAACATCTAACAGGCGTTTAGACATCGCCCTGCTCTCCCATCTTTTCCTTTGCTTCACGTGGGCCTCGCCACGGCCTCAGACTCCCGATCATGTGCCCGCCTGCAGCCTGTCACGGCATCGGGGTGCGGGCAGGACCACGCAGGCTTCTCCGACCCATGCAAGGGAAGCCGCCTGATGCTCCGTCACCTTCTCTGCCATCCCTGCTCTCCTCCTGACTTCTCACTAGACTACACGGGCCAACTTGCTGCTTCTACATCTCCTCCTCCCTGCAGCCCACCTTGTACACTGACTGCAGGACACTCCCTTCTCCAAAGGAATCAGGCTGGTCATGAAGCAGGGGCTGGGCTGGAGGGAGAGCACAGCAGTGAGGGCACTGGCCTTGCACGTCGCCGACCCCGGCTCCTTCCCTGGCATCCCATATGGTCCCCCAAGTCCACCAGCAGTGATCCCTGAGTGCTGAGCCAGGAGTTACCTCTGAGCATAGCTAGGTGTGGCTCCCAAACAGAAACAAACATAACCCTCCCCCCCCAAAAAAAGCATAGTTTTGACTGTACTTCCTTTTATTTATTTATTTTGGTTTGGGGGGCAAACCCAGCACTGTTCAGGGGTCACTCCTGGCGGAGCTCAGGGGATCATATCAGGTGCCAGGGATCAAATCTGGCCTTACCCACTTTACTGTCTGACCCCAACTCATCTTTTTCATCACAGAAAATCTAAGTAGAAGATTAAAGAGATGATGCGCTGCACTGTAGCACTGTCCTCCATTGTTCATCGATTTTGCTTGAGCGGGCCCAGTAACGTCTCCATTGTGAGACTTGTTGTTACTGTGTTTGGTATATCAAATACATCACGGGTAATCTTGGTAGCTTGCCGGGCTCTCTGAGAGGGGCAGAGGAATCAAACCCGGTTTGGTTGGGCTGGCTGCACACAACGCAAATGCCCTACAGCTGTGCTATCGCTCCAGCACAAAGAGTTGATAAGCATTTTTAAATAAAAAAAGAAAAAGAAAAGAAAGAAAGAAAGAAAGAAAGAAAGAAAGAAAGAAAGGTAGACCCAAGTACCCCAAACTAGTTAACAGGTACAAGTGGGGGCACCAGAGACTCTAGACCTGGTGGACAGGTGGAGGGTGTGAGGAAGGCTGAGTAGAGCCAAGGCCTTTAGGTCTTTTTCAGTTCTGATTTTGGACCCACCCAGAGGTGTGTAGAGGGCCACTCCCAGAGATGCTGGGGGGACAGTATGGTGCCAGAGGTGCAGCCTCCAAGTATGTGCTGTGGCCCTTTGCGTCGTCTCCCTAGGAACTTCAGCTTGATCACTGATTACGCTCTATTTCAAAAATCTGAAGAAAAAAATGGAACTTACTAGCTCTCGCTTTGCTTCTTCAATTTTCACTTGAGCAAGAGACGGATTCTTTTAAAGAAAAGTCAAAGAAGAAAGGTTACATTGCTTCAGTTGTAATTAAAAAACAAACAAATAAAGAAATAAAGCCTACAACAATCCTTTTCAAAAGGCAAAGCACACACAATACTGAAATCCAGCACAGAACTGAAATCCTCAGCACAGGCCCGCTACTCAGAACAATTCTCCATGTCCTTTGGAAGGCAAGGGAGTGCTTTTATCTTTAATTTATAAAAATAATTACCGGCATCAAATCTAAATAGGACTCCAATTTTTTCTTCAAAGGTATCATCTGTTGTTTCAGTTCTGCCAATTTCTAGGGCGTGACAAAAAAGAAAAAAAAAGCACAAGGTCACAGAGAAATTCACAAGTAACTAAATGCTCATTTCTAAAATAAAACAGGGTGAAGCATTGATGCTTTCAATGCCATGTCAAATAAACAACTTCAAATACAAATGAATAGACAAACTCACTTCCGACTGAAACAATAATAATGAAAAAGGAAAATATCCACTTATTAAGAATAGGACTTCGGGATCTGGGCACAGCTCAGGGGTAGAACATCTACCTTGCCCGCATGAGGCCTCGAGTTCAATGCCCAGCACTGCCCATGTGCCAAGTGCGTCCCAGTTGCACTGCTGCTTGTGGTGCCCCCCATAACAAAGAGTGCTGCCTGCGTGTGTAACCCCAATGAGCACAACTAATGTGTGACTACCCGTTAAACAGTGAAACTGGAGTATGTGAGGCCAATCACCAGGTGTTTGGAGCCCCCACCCCACACCCCCTGCCCAGGGCCACCATCATCACAACATAGGCAAGGGAAGAAAAAAACTTTTGTTCATATCATTCACAAAATGGCCGGGGAGAGAGCTCAATGGTGGACACAGGGCATAAACACACACGCCTCGTTCCCCTCAAGCAATGCCATATGCAATGTTGGTGGCCCCAGAATTGCTGGGAAGGCATTACCCTGCCCTCCATCCCCGACCGGCCCCCAATAAAAAGAGTAAGATTTTTATCTGTGACCTAGGAATAGAGAATACCTTAAGAATAACTTGAAATCAGGGCCCTCTCCCCACCCAGATGAGACCCCAAGTTGCTGCCCACGAATGGCTCCTCCAGCTCGGGAACAACCATGATCCCAGAGGCACACAAACCAATCTTGGAACCCAGAGGCTTCTAGCAGAAATCCCTCTGGACTTAATTACTAAAATATCAGAAATCCAAAATTGTGCTGCTGCACACATCTTATGTTCTTCATTATCAGTAATAAAAAACAAATTATCTAATGATGCCTTTTGGGCAGATCTGATTGTTGGGGGGAAAATTCCAAATAATAATGGTCAGTCTTCTGTTGAAAAATTGAATGTAATCAAAGTAGAGAGAGAGTAAAGTGGAAATCATCTGCCACACAGGCAGGGGGAGGGATGGGATGGGGGGTATACTGGGGTTCTTGGTGGTAGAACGGGTGAAGGGATGGGTATTTGATCATTGTATGACTGAGACTTAAACCTGAAAGCTTGTAACCGTTCTCACGGTGATTCAATTGAAAAAAAATATAATAACTTGAAACTGGGACTGGAGTTATAGTTCAGCAGGGAGGGCATCTGCTTTGCACTGACCCATTCAGGCTTGATCCCTGGTACCCCAAATGGTTCTCTGAGCTCCCCAAGAGTGATCCCTGAGTGCAGAGGCAGGAGTAAGCCCTGAGCACTGCTGTATGTGCCCCCCCCCCCCCAACAAAAGAAGAACCTGAGTGCAAGGAAACAGTGAGTCTCAAATACATGTTTATAAATGGTCAGCGTCAGATTTTTTTTTAATTTTTAGATTTTATTTATTTATACTTTCTCCTACCCTCTCGGAGAGCCCAGCAAGCTACCGAGAGTATACCACCCGCACGGCAGAGCCTGGCAAGCTCTCTGTGGTGTATTTGATATGCCAGAAACAGTAACAATGATGGGTCTCCTTCTCCTGACCCTGAAAGAGCCTTCAATACAGCACTGTTAGGAAGGACAAGTAAGGAGAGGATGCTAAAATCTCAGGGCTGGGACGAATGGAGAAGTTACTGACACTCAAGCAAATCGATGAACGGGATGACAGTGATACAGTGATTTATTAATTTATTGACTTTTTGGATCACACCCAGTGATGCTCAGGGGTCACTCCTGGATCTCACTCAGGAATTACTCCTGGCAGTGTTCAGGGGACCATATGGGACGCTGGGGATAGAACCCTGCTGGCTTTGTGCAAGGTAAGCGCCCGACCCACTGTAATATCATTCTGCCCTAGAGTAAGATTTTTAAAGACGTTAGACTGGATTAGAATAAACTCACCTCTGAAAGTGCCACTAATGACTGATGAGACAGCGATGAGTCCATACCTCTGGCTGAAAGTTCCTCCTGTAATTACAAATAATGGAGTTCAGTTAAAAAAATTATTCTTGAAGTGACCTTTATGAAATAGTTTTAACATAGTAAAGAGAAGCTACAACCCACAGATGAAACCCCTCATGTTTAGAACGATGCATCCAAGCATGTTCAAATGCGGCGCAGGAATCACAGCAACAGTCCTATCTGCAGGAGCGGGGCTTTCGGGCCTCAGGGCCTGTCAGCCTCTATGAGACCTGGATCTGCTTCTCTGTTTTGAGGCAACCCTGGGCAAGTTAACTCCCTTCTCTGTAGTTCCCGTCAAAGGGAAATTAACAGCTTCACTGTGAGGGATGAAGCTCCAGAAGCCCAGAGAGAGAGAACTGAACTGGTCGTTCATACAAACCTCTGTAGTTCTGATTCCAGATCTGAACTCCTCTGACTTGGCCTTTAGGAAGTCCATGTTCTGAAGACGATTATCAGCTTTGGCCCTTTCTGTAGACAGATGCAGCTCTGCTTTCTTGAGATCCCTTTAAAAAGTCAAGTTAGGGACCAGAGAGACGAAATAGTGGGTAGGAATGTCTTGCCTTGCACATGGCTGACCTGAGTTCGAGCCCTTGTATCCCATAAGGTTTCCTGAGCACTGCCAAGAGTGATTCCTGAGCACAGCTGAGTGTGGCCCCCAAACCAAAGAAAACAATCTCGTTAAAAGCTTTTCCTTGGAACTGGAGCGATAGTACAGTGCATAGGGCATCTGCCTTGCATGCAGCTGACCTGGGTTCAGTCCTCGGCATCCTTTATGGTCCCCCTTGGGGACTGCCAGGAGCAATTCCTGAGTGCAATGCCAGGAGTAACCTCTGAGCATCACCAGGTGAGATCCAAAAAGCAAACAAAACAAAACAAAACAAACAAAAAGACCTAATAACCACAAAACAAACAAACAAACAAAACAAACCATTGTCTTCTCCTCAATAAAATTAGTATAATGAAGAAACTCTCTGGCATTATTTTTTTTTCTTGGATGGGGACAAAACTCAGCAGTGCTCAGGGCTTATTGCCAGTTCTGAGTTTAAGGACCATTCCTGGTGATATCTGGGAAGTCTTCCATTCCTGGTGATATTTGGGAAGCCTTATGCAGTATCTGATAATGAACTGGGCTCAGCTTGTGTGCAAGGCAAATGCTATGACATTTCTCCAGCATTTGGTATCAGTTTTAAGTTAGTTATAAATGATAAGATACTTGCTGCAATATCTACCAAAAATTTTATATCCTAGACCAGTTTATGTTCACGCTATGTTGCCAACTGGGCTTTTTCCTCAAGGAATACAAAATAATTTTTAAAGATTAATTTATTATTTGCTAATCATTTATTTTTGAAGCAAGTAAATCTGTGACTCAAAAGAGCTATTTAAAGCCACTGCAAGAGCTCAAAAATGGCCAGAGTGATTGCTTTGCATGCTACAGGCAGAGATTCAATCCTGGGCACTACCTGGTCAGCCAGGAACCAGGAGTAGCCCTGGAGCACTGCTAGGTGTGGACCTTGGTCCAGCCAAAAATGAAAAAGTGATTTAAAGTGTGCTAAAGAAAATCTGTATTTTGGAGGTACCAAAGGCAACTTTCCTAAATATACTATGATGGAACAATGCCTTGCATATTCAATGTTGGACCAATTTGCACACCACCAAATTGCTTGTGCATATACGTACTTCTCATATACAGCTTTAAGTGTCTTCACCAACAGGAACCTAAAGAAGAATTAGAGGGGCTGGAGTGATAGCACAGCGGGTAGGGTGTTTGCCTTGCACGCGGCCGACCCGGGTTCAATTCCCAGCATCCCATATGGTCTCCTGAGCACTTCCAGGAGTGATTCCTGAGTGCAAAGCCAGGAGTAACCCCTGAGCATCGCCAGGTGTGACCCGAAAAGAAAAAAAAAAAAAAAGAAGAATTAGAATAAGAGGGATCCAAAGCTCTAGTAAGAAAGAGCAATAAAGTAAAATAGGAATTTAAGTTGCACAGAGGAGTGCGTAAGTGAAAAAAAATTTACAAATAGCTTGAAAATTTTAAGCCCCAGGTTATCTGTATATTAAAAAAAAAAAGACACCAGAGAGAGGGTAGAGGGCAAGACGCTTGTCTGCTTGCAGCTAACCCCAGTTGGATCCCTGTTACCACCTATGGTCCCTAGAATTCTGCCAGAACTGACCCCTGGGCACAAAGCAAGAAGTAGGCCCCAGTCACTGTCGGATGTGACCCAAACCCCCATCCCCCAGCCGCCGGCCACCAAATCATCACCACTTCCAATGCTTACTCTCTTAGACATTTTTCTAATACCAACGTGGCAGTTAGATTCTTTTCGAGTTTGGTCAATTCGAGCTTGATTTCTTCATTTTTGCATTTGGTACCAAAAAGTTTAGAGGTCAAATCATTCACTGCAGGGATAAAACTGAAAGAAAAATCTGGTTACATATATAAAAATAAAAAACAATAATTATAATCTCATTTATACAAAGTATTTTAGGGACTTCAGTGATAGTACAACAGGTAGGGTGCTTGCCTTGCATGTAGCTGACCTGGGTTCAAGCCCCAACACTCCTATGGTTCTCAAGCACAACCCCTGGTACCCATAAGGTTCTCCAAGCACCACCAGGAATGATTCCTGAGCACAGAGCCAAGAGTAACTCCTGAGCACTGCTGGATGTGACCCCCCAAACCAAAATGTTTTTTTTTAGAAAAGGATTTTATATATGGTTTCTTTTCTAACCACACTGCTTCATAGCTCCATGCAGTTTTTTCATGATGTTCCCAGGAATGTCCTACTGGTTGGCCCGCTTGTCATACACATGCCATGCCATGTGGTCTCCATTTGTGTGATTTTCAATGAACTTTCATGGAGGTCCAGGGGGCCACAGGATTCCCAGTTGAGAAACACAGACAGAAGTAATGTATCAAGGTCAACCAGATGACTTAGCTTGCTGTTTCTCTTATTGTTTATAAAAAATAAGGCAAATGATATTTTACCTAATTCTTCTCCATATATATCTAAAAACCAATTTTCACACAAACATAATCCCCAAAGAAGAAAACAAATTAAAATTATCACAGACCAAGTTTATCTGAATTATTTACACTCCTAGAAATAAGGAGTTAGCTAAATCCAGCAGTTCTGCATTTACCATTAATTTTCTATGTGGAATTACTGATATCAGATCAAGACCAATATAGTGGGGCTGGAATGATAGTACAGAGGGTAGGGTGTTTGCCTTGCATGCGGCCGACCTGGGTTTGATTTCCAGCATTCCATATGGTCCCTGGAGCACTTCCAGGACTAATTCCTGAGTGCAGAGCCAGGAGGAACCCCTGTGCATCGCCAAGTGTGACCCAAAAAGCAAAAAAAAAAAAAAAAAAGACTAATATAGCATGTGTGAGTGCAGAAATAAAAAATGGCCAAAGTGGGGTGACCAGATCACCTTTGACCCCAGTGTTTTGAAAGGAGGGCAGGGAAGGAAAGAAATCAAGGGAAGAAGAGAATGGGAAATAATGGGTAAACAGGCAGCAGGGCTTCAGTTATACTGGTGATATGGGTGAGTGGTATCACCGTATTTTCAAAACACGGACTCAATAACAATGAAACATGAGATCTAAGCTGCAACCACTAAAACTTTGTAATGTGCCTGGTGAGCTTTGTTGACAGCTTGGTTGACAGGCGAGGGTGGAGTGGGGCTGGGGTGGGGAGGGAATATGGGAGCACTGGTGGAGGGAACTTAACATTGGTGGTGGGATTGGTGTTGAAATATTATATGTCTAAAATGCAAAGATCAATAACTTTGTAAATCACAGTTCCTTAATAAAAATTTTTTTTAAATAAGAAAGAAAACAAAATAGTCACAAAAATTACCTAGTTAGTGAGGTATCCTTTGCTTCCAGGGTCATTGCACTATCAACCAAAGCATTCAGGTACCTCGAACCAGTGCTAGAAAGACAGGCGGGGGACAAGCTGACACTCTCCATGAGAAAGTCCTGAAGATGCTGAGCTGGAAAGACAGGAGTTTAGTGGTGACAAAGATGTTTTAACAGCTTCACTAAAATATCTCATGTACCAAACATCTGTTCTCCTAAAGTGTATAACCCACTGGCTTCCAGTATATTCAGAGTTGTATACACCACAATACAACTGAGTTTAGAATATTTTCATCACTCCAGAACGAAAGTCCACAGTTTTTGGTAATCTTTTTTCCCCCGATTTTCCAATTTACAAAGCTACTAGCAGTCATCAATTCATTGTCTATCCTGGATTGTACCATCCAGTGTGTGTGGTCCTTTGTGACTTGGCATAAAGGTTTTATGATTCACCCACAGAGTGCCATGTATTCATTCCTTTCCATGGCTAAAAATTCCACTGGATAGTTAATATTTATCTATTTATCTGTTGATGGAATTGGGTTATTTACATCATTATGAAAAATGCTGCTATAAGATCTACATAAAGGTTTTCATATAGAACTATGTTTTCATTTCTCTTGAGTATTCACCAAGGAAGGGAACATATCTGATATAGAGTATTTTTTTATTCCTGTTTTGGGGCCATGCCTCACAGTGATTGGGAGTTACTCCTCTCTGTGCTTGGTCACTGCTCCTGCTGGTGCTTGGGAGATCACGCAGTGCAAGCAACTGAATCCTGAATTCTTGAAGCAAAGGGCGCACTTGGTTCCAGGCGCTATCTCTCCAGCCTCAGCAACCCTATTTTTAAATGTGTAAGAAATTGCCAGAGCCAAAGAGATAATATAAGTATTTAAGTACTCGTCTTGCACCATTAATTCTGATTTGGTCCCCAGTACCACACATGGTCCTTGGAGTGATCCCTGAGCACAGATCTAAAAGTAGCCTCTGAACATCTCCAGGTATGGTCCCCCTTGATTCCCCCGCCCCCCGAAAAAAAATCACTTCTGAGAAAGTATAACCACAAAGGTTATCACAGCAGAAGCTTCTAAGGGTGACGGAACCATCTTTATCCTGAAGGGTGGTTCTTGAATCCATTTATTTTCAAAGTACACCTGAATTCTGTTTTCAAAGTACAGGACATGAGTCTGTACATCAAAACAGTAAAGTAAAATTTGCCATGTTCATTTTTAAAGTTTTAAAACTCACATATAAATAGAATTACAAGATAAATTATATCATATTCAAAACTTCCTAAGTAGTCTTACATACGCCTGGTTAAATTATGGCAAATGTAGCTTCAGTTCCTTTCTCTTTTCTTATATGCCAACCCATATAAAGGTATTTTGGGAGGTGGGGAGGGAGGACCACATCCAGCTACACTGGAGTTTACTCTGGGCTCTGTGCTCAGTATCACACCAAGTGATGCTCAGTGAGCCAAGGCAGTGCCGGTGATTGAAACTGGGGCTTCCTTCATGCAAAACATGTATTCATCCTGCTGAGTTATTTCTGTCCCTAAGTAGATATTATATCAGCATTTTTGTGGTTTGTGTCCTAGAAAAAATAAGCTCTAATATGCACTTTCTAGTTACATATGCCTGGCAGAAAAGTATAATGCAATCTCAAAAATACATAGCAATTGAGTGATTTGCTCAGGCATCATAGTTCATGGCTGTCACCATTAAGTGGCTCATTATAACTAAAGCATGGAGACCAAAAGCTCACCAAGAAGACAGCTCAGTGAAAATCCACTACTCTCAGTTTGAGAAATAGGACGCTGGGTAGGGCACTTGCCTTGCATGTGGCCTCTCCCACTTCAGTTCCTGGAACTCCCACCTGGTTCCCAAGTACCACCAGGAGTGATCCCTAAATTGCAGAGCCAGGAGTAAGCCCTAACCACAGCCAGGTATAGCTCAAAAACCAAAAGGAGGGGGGAAAATCTACAACACATCTGTCAGGCTAATAAGTTTAGATTCTGATCTTATTTGAAGAGATAGTAAAGGGGGTAGGACATTTGCTTTGCATGCAGCCAACCCAGGTTAAATTCCTGGTACTGCAAGTGGTCCCCTAAGCACCAGCAGGAGTGATCCCTGAGCACAGAGGCAGGATTAAGCCCTGAGCACAGAGGCAGGATTAAGCCCTGAGCACAGGCAGCTGTGGCCAAAAAACAAAAACCAAACAAACAAAAAATAGACTCATATCTTTTAGGGCTTACTGTTTTGCTATCAGGGTACTAATGAAATATTTGCTATGATGCAATCTCTCATTCATTTTGCTTCTAGGACAACAGAATGGGAGACAAATCTGGGTGAAGGAAGAATTCAAACCAACAAGCAGTCTGTACTATATTTTGTAACAAACCATGGCCTTCAGTTGTCTCAGTCAAGCCTCTGAAACTTATCTCACCTTCTGATTCATATTCACCAGCTTTCTGCTTCAAGTCCTCAATTACAAGACTGACATCTCTGTCCCGGACCCTATTGCGCTCTGAAAGATGATGTAAAATCTCTGTGGTCCGTGAATTCACCTCGTATTGTGGAATAGGATGGTCTCCAAATACCTTTTTTAACCATGCAGCCACCTAACCATTAAAAGGAAGACAAATACCATTATTAGGCTTTGTTTATTACAATCAGTACAAAGCAAAGGGGACATGGGAAGTGACAAAAAGCTAAAGAAGTGCTTGTGATGAACTTTCTGGGTCCTACCAATTTCACTCAAACTTAGCCTTGGGGAGAGAGAGGCCAGAAAATCATCCAAAAATTTGAGCAAGGGCACCAAGACCAAAGGTCAAAGTCAAAATGATCAGAGGACCAGAGTTAACAGTACAGCGGATAGGGTGCTTTGCCTTACAAGTAGCCAACCCGGGTTCAATCCCCAGCATCCCATATGGTCTCTGGAGCACCGCCAGAAGTAATTCCTGAGTGCAGAGCCAGGAGCATCTGAGCATCGCCGGATATGGCCCCCCCATCCTCCTTGCCGCCATTAAAAAAAAAAAAGACCATAAAACCATCCTTTCCTCAAGCTAGGAGAGTGGTACTGGCTAACCACGCCCATCACTCCACAGTACCTCAAAGCTCCACGCAAGGTCTCAAGACATCAATGCTTGGGGCTGGAGTGATAGCTCAGTGGGTAGGGCGTTTGCCTTGCACGCGGCGGACCGGGTTTGATTCCCTGCATCCCATATGGTCCCCTGAGCACCACCAGGGGTAATTCCTGAGTGCAGAGCCAGGAGTAACCCCTGTGCATCGCTGGGTGTGACCCAAATAGCCAAAAAACAAAACATAACAAAAACCAAAAATACAAAAACAAGACATCAATGCTTATGCCAAAGTACAAAAAGAGGCGTCCACCCAAAAGAAAAGGCTCCTAGAGGCCTAACGCAGGGCTGCGAAGCAGGTCAGCTGTGGAAATTCTAGTAAAAAGCAGCTGTGATTGGCGATCCTGGTAGGTGATAGCAGGCCCACACTAGTCACCCCAGGAATCGCCTCAACCCCTGTCCCAGACCAAACCAGAGCAGGCCCAGCAGGCAGGGAAACGCCCTCTGCTCAGGGGTCTAGCAGAAGGGGATTCTGGACGGCAGAGGCGGGACTAGAGATAGACGAGCATCGGCGGGGAAGAAAGTAAATACAACGCGCGCAGAAGACTCGAGTCCCAGGGCTGGCCTGTGTCCAGGCCCCGCAAGCCTCAATCCCACCCATCACCTGCGCTTCCTTCTCCTCCCGCGCCTCCATAACGTCGTCTCCCGCCACTTCTTCGGCTGCCTGAGCAGCGCCCAGAGTGCTCTGGAGGCCCCGCCCACACGTCGTTGGCCACGCCCTTCAAGGCCCGGGGTTTTCTGGGAGTTGTAGTTGATGTTGGGATTATCGGTCGCGGAGACCTTCAATACTGTGGGTCCAAGGTTCCATCCAGCATGGCATATATTTCCTCTCCTGTTGTCTCGCTGCTCTGTCGGTCCTCCGTGTATAATCTTCAAGAAGGCGAAGTAGCGCTGCCTATTACCAGGCCATTCTTTTAATTTTTTTTAACTTGAATCATTTTCTAATACTTTTTTTTTAATTGGCTTTTGGGCACACCAGCGATGCACAGGAGTTACTCCTGGCTCTTCACTCAGGAATTACTCCTGACGGTGTTCGGGGACCATATGGGATGCTGGGAATTGAACCCGGGTCAGCCGCGTGCAAGGCAAACGCCCTACCCGCTGTGCAAATACTTTGTTTTTTGAATAGCAGATATTTCCTCCCTCCCTCTCCCCCTCCCTGCCCTCCAGCTCATGGAACATCCTTTAATTTCAGTTTTTTTTTCTTTTACCCTGGAAGTTTGAGCTGCAATAAAGCTGATCTTATTTCTTAGTTTCTACTCAGGAACAGCTAAATGTATTCTGGGGCTACACCCAGTGATGCTCAGGGCTAACTCTATAGGTGCTCAGGGGACCGTAGGTAGTGCTGGGAAATCAATCCCAGGTCAGCCACTTACAAGGCCAGCGCCTTACTTGCCGTACTATCTCCCTGGCCCGTTGGAGGCAGTTTTGAAAGGACTGACAGCATCCACTGCCAGCCTGGATTGCCACCTAGCCATTCCTCATCCGTTATTTGCCTTCCCTAAAGTTCACTCTTCCATCCATCATTCAGAAAGAGTTTCTTATTTTTAAGTTGAGTATAGTTTTCCGTGTTTCCCTGATTTTCATTCTTACAAGAACCCTGTAAATACAAGGACACATACTATAGTTTTTCTGTTTTCACCTTGAAATCAGATTCAGAATAAGTGACTTGTTTCAGATAATATAGTTGATTTGTAACCTGACCAGTGTTTTGTTTCAAATTGGGTATTTCAGTCACTTACATATCAAGTTGTATCAACACTGCTGACAGTGTCCTGGTACAAAAGGAAAGTAGCCCACAGATCCAATTTTCTACAATTGTGCCTTAAAATCAAATTGTGCATCAGGCTTATTACCAAATAACTCTTTCCCAAGCCATATACCTATTGAAAGTGATTAATCTGGAACTGGAGAGACAACTCAACAGGCTGAGCTAACCGGTGGGAGGCCCCATTACAACCCAGGGACCCCAGGAACCCTAAGCACATTGTTGGGAGTAAACCCCAAGCATTGTGGCCTCATCCCCCAAATAATAAAGATTAACTCTTCTTTATAAAAAAATCTTATTAAGTAGTCATTGTCATACAGTACAGCTTGCTTATTGTTTCATATACAGCTCTGCTTAGTAAACCAATTTCAGGTGGCTCGTATGTGTGTGTGTGTGTGTGTGTGTGTGTGTGTGTGTTATAGTGCAAATGAAAAAGTAGAATTTCTATTGTCATGGAAGAGAAAAAAACCTACACAGAGGAGAAAAAACAGAAGCCTTAACCTGGTCGTCTGGAGTGAGACTTAACTCTGGGCCATTTTTCTCAGTGGGATTTGCAAAAATTCTATTTAGGCTTCTTATTTTAATACAATTTTTAAGCAATTTGCTCTGATACATATATTCAGGAAGAGCCAAACGGCAGGTCTCTAACATATAGATCGCCTAGCACGGTATAACAACCTGTCACCAATTCAGATTGTTCCAGATTTACGGGAGTGTGGAAGACTGGGTTGGTGACCTGCGTGTTAATCCGCATAATCGGAAAAGCCTGCGAAGCAGTGCCCTGGATCGGGGGTGGCGTGTAACCTTTCGTGGTTCCAGATTTAACTACTAGAGCCTCGGACACCGTGACCCTACTCCACCCAATCCAGCCGCGTCCCCGAACCGGCGTCCGCCAACGTCCGTCCTCTGACAGCCGAGAGGAAACCTGGGAACTGCGGCATCTCAAAGTCCGCGCCCCACGTGGTCTCCGGGGCAACCACAAGGTCGACTCAAAAGGCCCAAATAAACGTCTGCTGAAAGCCTGGGTCAAAACTGGCCAAGCCCTAACCACTCGTTTTGGGGGTGGCAATCTAATAAACACAAAAACCAAACCCCAAATCTGAAACGATTTAAAAAAAAAAAAGTAGTCCGACTTCGATCCAGGCTCCGCGGGATTCACATCCGGAGGTGAGCGCGGGGGGGCGGTACTTCCGGGTCGGGCGGGCTGGGCGCCTTGACCTTCCTCGCCGCTCGGCCATTTTGTCCCAGTCGGTGCAGAGGCTGCGGCTGCGGAGGATCCCTCTGAGAGAAGCTGCGAAGATGCTGTCCGTGCGCGTCGCCGCGGCCGTGGCCCGCTCCCTCCCTCGGCGGGCCGGGCTGGTGAGAGCGGGGAGCGGACGGGGCGGCGGGCGCGCGGGTGCCAAGGAGGGGGGGTGCGCTGTCTCTGAGGAGAATGAGGGGCTGTGGCAGCGTCGCCATCTTTGCAGCGTTGGCTGCTCGGCGGGCCCGGCTGCGGGGGTTACTGCAGCGCGTGGGGGTGCCTCGGCCCCTGAGTGCGGGGAGGGGAGGAGTGCTAGGGACGCGGTGACCTCGGTGACCTCGGTGTCGCCGTTCGAGAGAGCGATCGGCGGGCCGCCCCGGGCTGCAGGTCGGGGTGGGCGCGGGCAGCCCCGAGGCCTGGCAGAGGAGACGAGGTCGGAGCCCGCCGCTGCCCGGCGTGGCTTGTCCTGCCCGTCTGGCGTCGCGCGCGGCGGGGGCGGCTGACAGTGGCTTGAAGGTCACCTCGGTCGGCCCCGAGGTCGGGGGCGCGCGGGGAAACCCGACCAGGGGGCCACGCCACCTGCAGAATCCCCCGAGGCCTTGCGGGGGCCCCGATCGCCTGCAGCAAGAGGCTTTCCGTTGCTCTCCGGTCACCTCGGACCCGCCTGGAGGTTCGCCCTTGGGGACAGCGGCGGCGAGCGCCCGTGAAGGTCATGGTCCTCGGGGCCTGGCGCTGGCCCCGGCCCACCCGGCCCTCCCGGCCCTCCCCTCCCGGGTTCGGCACGGGAGGATCCGCTTGCCGCTGCGAGCTGGGCCGTCCCGGCTCCAGGCGGTTTGCAGGTCGCGCCCCGTGCTTTGTCTTGCAGAAAGATCCGATGCAGGGCTTCATCATCGTTATCGTTATTATTATTATTTTTCCTTTTTTGAAGTCTTCGGCCGATACGCAGGCAGCTGGAGGAATGTCAGTGAGGCTGTGATTGCTGCCCAGGCGATAGTTCTGTGGGCGCTTGCAGTTGCGCTGGCCGTTTCTGTTCGCAGTAGTCTTAGGGATACCTCCCTGGCTTTTGCACACGGGAGTGTCTCTGGACCATGCACAGAGGTCCATATGGGATGCCCGGGATCGAACCCTCTAAGCATTTGCTGGGGGTCCTATCCGCGGCACACTCACTCTGGTCCCTTGATTGCTTTTTTTTTTTTTTTTTTAAGTAAAGTCCAACTGTGGAGGATTTGCCCGTTTAGGAGCTCAGTGGTGTATCTCTTAACTGAGGCTTTTCTGTGGCTCAGTTTAAATACTGCCTCTAATGACCGTGTAACAGTACAGGCGCTTTATTAATGGTTGCTTTTTAACTGCGTTTAAAAGTGCTTTATAGCGTTTCCCCCCACCCCAGGAACCAAAATGCTCTTCACATCTCTCTCTCTCTCTCTCTCTCTCTATATATATATATATATATATATACACACATACACACAGATATGTATCAAAAATATTTTTTTCCATGTGATTGGTAGTCTTGCATTTGAGGCACAATCATTTTCCTGAGATTTTGGTTTTCTTTTGCATTTGGAGCTTGTGGCTCATGCAAGCTTGCATTCAGGGATATAGGTAGCGTAGGCTTGCGTGAGGTCAAGGGGTATTTTTTTCTCTGACTCCTGTCATGATTTTACTGGTAATTTGAATAAAGGAGGCTTGTATTTGTTCTAAGATGCCCAGGTACCTAAAGGCTTGTTTGAAAAAAAATCAATTTTAAATTTCCTTAATAGGTCTCCAAAAATGCTTTGGGATCCTCCTTTGTTGCTGCAAGGAACCTCCATGCCTCTCAGTCTCGTCTTCAGAAGACTGGTAAGTCATTTCCAAGACTGTTCTTGTACTATTTAGCACCTTGTCCTTAAGAGAAGACATGTTACATCACAGAACTGTTGGGAGTTTTAAAGTTTTCCATTGATTACTTACTTTTCTCAATTTTGAGTTCTGCAGAATCTCAGGTTGTTAATCTGTAATGTACCGTCGTACTCCTGTCTTTGGGTTCACTTGTTTGCGTTCACTTGTTCTGGTGAAATGAACTTTGATGTTAGTGCAGTTTCTTAGTTTGGATGAAAGTAATTTTACCTCTAGGTTTTTCAAAAGCAATTTGAGAAATTGGACTAAAGTGTCTGGTTTGTACCTGGCAGTCTTGAGTTTGCTTGTTGCAAACTTGATGAGAAGTGAGCAGATGAGCATAGGAAGAGGCTATAGCATTGGGGATTTTCTCTTGAGACATGCATTAAGACTTTTAAAAATAAAACCATAACAAGTAAGTATTTTTACTACATACATATTTTTGCTTTTTGAAAGTGAGAGACTTGTACCCTCCCAGTGATTGGGGACCCTTGTGGTACAAGGTTGCAAACCTTTTGAGTCAATTCCCTGGGGTATTTTGTGAGCACGCCCAATGAGGGCTTCTGCTTCCCCCTTAGTGGTCATCTTGGTGGAGCTTGGGACCACACAGGGATCAAATGCTAAGTTCCGGCGTCTGTATTCTCTAGCTCTTGTTCTGTTGCACTAGCGTGTGTGTGCAAGTCTAAATGGCCATAAACCAGTAGAATTGAGTCCTTTTTTCTTATTTGAGGCTACATAAGCCTTTGTCCTTGGGATTCACTCCTGGAAGTGCTGTG